CATTGAAGCAAACTTTTATAGATTCTGAAACAGACCAAAAAATACCTTAAAAAAAGCCTTGGGAGACTTAAAGCCCTCCCTTGACCTCTCTATTCTCTTAGGTGATAATGATCAGCTTCATAATGACCTCAATGAACTCACAACAATCATCTCCAATCACTTCAAAAAAATTCTTGATCCTAAACCATTCTTTCTTAACAATGAATGGAATCCAGAGTATGAGTCTCTAAATCATATTCCTGACGATGCATTTGATAACATTGTCATACCAATTTCAATTCAAGAATTGAAGGGAGCACTCAATGACTTACCTAAATGCAAAGCCCCTGGACTTACCTTAATCCCTTATAAAGCTTGGATGCAATTCAGCCCGACAGTTAAGAAATGTATTTTAGTCCTATTCAATAATATTTTGTCAACAAGTGAAGTTTTCAAATTCTAGAAACTATCAGCTATCGCTCTTCTATCCAAAAAAATTGTATGGTCACATGATCTTACTGATACACGACCGATCTCTCTCATCGAAACAAGCAGAAAGATTTTCACAAAAATAATTAATAATAGACTTTCCACAAATATGTTGAAGTACAAGGCCATATCAGATTCAAATTTTGCTAGTCTCAAAAATCAAAATACTTTGGAATCAATCACAATTGTCATCTCAAGTATTAATACAGCAAACAATCTCAACAAAGAAATTTGGGTAGCATCCTTTGATATCTCCAAAGCCTTTGACTCTGTTAACCTTTCCAGCCTTAATAAAGCTATGAAACGCATTAAACTTCCAATCAGAATCATATCACTAGTTTTCAATCTCTTGAATGAAAGAGAACTTAAGTTGATAACATATTACAAATTATCTGAGCCACTCAAAGTCAGCAAGGGACTTGATCAAGGCAAAACCTTATTCCCTTTATTATGAACCATCTTTTATGATCCAATGGTTACTAAAATAACAAACAAATTTTCTACAACTTCTAAAGTTCTTGCATATATGGATGATATCGCTCTCTTCAGTTCAAACATGCAATCTCTACAGGAGGTGACAAACATCTTCTGTTCTTTCCTGCTCTTAAATTCTATCAAGTGTAATCAAAAAAAAACTAAGTTAATTACTAATCTTAAAACATCTAATCAAAAAAGAAAACAATTCCTTATCGTTAAAGAGAAAAAGATTTTCCCAAAACTGCTCAAAGAGGGTATCAGGTATTTGGGAGTTTATCTGTCTGATAAATTTTTATCTACCTCTACCAAAAGCAAATTGATGGAGAAAGTCCAAAAGTTTACAAATGCAATCACTTCACAAAAGGAATGAAATGGCTTAATCACCAAACAAGCCTTCCACTGGATCATACCAGCACAATTAGATTATGCAATTAATGCTACAATTCTATCTGACAGAGAAACAACTATTCTTCAAAGGAAAATGAATAGGCCCATCAAAGTAAAACTAGATGTTGAGCGAACTATCTCCAATAAAATTTTATACTCACAAGCTGGACTTAGCATAGTTAAACTCCAAAATTGACATGACCTCACTGCCATCAAAATCTTAATTATAAAATTTATCAACCCTAAAATTCTTTCTTACACAGTAAAAGAAATTACATCAATACAAGCGATGCAAGCAATCTGGTGTTGCCCAATCTGCTTCCCATATTATTTTGAAGATTTATGGATCATATTAGCAGCCCTATTGGCAAAAAGATATAGTATTAGAATTTGTTTGTTTCACTGCCCTTACAACTATAAGAACCATGAACATTCAATTGGATTGATAACCAAGCTTTAAAAATCAATCACCCTTTCTCTTTTCTATATCAACATCAAAACTGTTCACAATACTTACATCTATAAACAAAACACTAAACTAACATAGGAAGAACTCCATATACACAGAGGCTACATTACACCTGGGCCAATACTTGCCTGGTTTTCTCTTATTTCTGCTACATCACCCTCTATTTATGGTGACTCAACATTCCTCCCCAAAACATCTAAAACCAAGTTTCAGACCTTTCTGGAAAATAACTCTATCAATCTCATCAAAGTCTGTATCAATGCTATTTACTTCCAATTCATCAAAGAAAAATACCATTAACTTCTTAACAAAAAAATAATTCTCTGTTTATATCCAATTCAACCATATATCAAAGAAAAAAATATAAATCATCTTAAATCAATTTGGTATACAACATGTTCGAATTCAAAATACTTACTCAATAACATCCAGAAACTTTTGGATTCCTTCTCAGTCAGATCACAAATAATCCCACATATAATAATTTCACCACCTCCTTCAATTATTTAACCAACTATCACTTATTTATATTACAATAAAAAAGATAATAACCTAATAGTTTCAAAATTAATTAACATCTTTATATATACATTATATCTGAACTTCTGGTGCATCTTTTGGCCAGTATTCCATCAAACTCTTAATGATACTCCAAATTTATCAACCATAAAAATCTATCTTAACAAAATTCCTGATCTGAGAACTCCAGATTATATCAACAGAATGGTCAAAATTTCTGATCTGAGAACTCCAGATTATATCAACAGAATAGTCAAAATTCCCTTCAGCAGATTCATTAGTGAATGCAACACTTTTATAGCATCAAAAAGTCTTACTGTTCTGTGATTCAAATTGAAAGATCACCAGCCACCATCCGATACTCTTTCTAGGATTAACACACCATTTCCCTAGTGTTTTCCTTCAATAGTTACACCTTCACCATTGATTAATAATACCCATACAACAAGTGTCACACATTGGATTAAATTTATAAATTATTATACCAATTTATTTGATATACTTGTTAGTAATTCAACAATCTATAAATCTTCTTCTTTCGAGGAATTGGAAATTATTATCAGAGCAAACAACAAGTTAAAAAAAACGAATCAATTAAAACATAGAGCTCTGTCTACATTTAGGACCAAACTCTTTGCTAATCAGCTTCCCACCAGAGTTAAACTTCACAAATAATATCCTATCCATTATTCTGACAATCTATGCCATGATGTGACGCATACCCTGAAGATTTATTGCACATTTTTTCATGTATATACATTAGGCCATTAATTAACAAAAAGAAATCTAAACTGGAAAACCTTATTTTAAATCTCAACTCCAAATGCATCAAGGCTACCGATTTTATTGACACTCTCAAATTAACACCAAATATTTTATTAGACTTAACTATCTGTAAATTTAATTCTTTCTTCAACTCACTGGAAAAAAAGGAAGATATCTCTAATTACATTCTTAAAATTCTCTACAAGGCTTGGAAAATGCAATCTGCTATAGCAATAATCTCACCATCATCTGGTATAAAATGGAAAAAAACACCTAGTACTAAAGTACCAAACCAAAATATAAATGATAATACTACATTTAACAAAATCTTAAATTTATTAAACACCTCATTAAACTTCACTGATAAATCAATTTTTACCCTAGCAGTAATATTATTGTTCTGAACTGGCATTAGCCATTCAGCACTATTGGTATGAGCCCACCCCTGAGGTGGTACCTGGCATCAATAGATTTGTTGCGATAGGCTACAATTAATTTACTTTGTAAAGATTGTTAATATAATGACAGTAAATTTTTTATTTAAATAAAGTCTTGCATTTAATGCTTGTTCGTGATAAAAAAAAATATATATTTTTTACAATATTTAAGAGAATTATAAAAAATTATTTTAAATAAAAAATAGTAATCTTAATTAAATTCTTAAATTAAATTATATTACTTTATAATATTTAGACAATTTTATATTATTTTTAAAAAAATATTATTATATAGTTGTATAGGATCTAATTTATTATATTATATCTAATTTATTAAAGATTTTATTTGGATTTTATTATTCTTATACAAGATTAAACTTATAGAACTTATAAATTAGTAGAGGAAAATTATTACAATTGATCTTTATTTAATAATTCTATCTATTCTTATATAAAAGCACTAATATTTAATTTTTAAAATACTTTCTTTTTGTTCTGAAATTTATATATTATTGATTTACTATTGTATTTTTATTTATTTTACTTATTTAATCATATTTTTCTTTTTTTTTAAGATAAAAGATACTAGACATACTGGTTTTTATTGAGTGATTTATATCCAATATATATTATATCAAAGGTCTATTTAAGTTAATCCATTTCTATTATCTATTTAATCCAGTTATATAAACTTACTACTATAGAAGTGGAGCCTATACACTAGATAAAACAAATTCAAGGGGTGGGAAATCTTGCTGCCAGTTTAAACTCAATCTTCCTGTTAAATCCTGATTCAATAACCTTATAACTATTCACTATCAAAAATCCTGTATCTTGCAAAATTGATTTAAAACACCCAGTAGTATGTTTATGAGAGAGTTGGGACAGAAATTGGTACCTCAATATGTATACCATTTTTACTTTTTTCGCCACACAGGAAGCTTTTTTCTTATATTGATTTTTTTTCTCGCCACACTTGAATGTGGCGTGATTTATTTTTTTGGCCACATCCAACCGACTTATTAATAAAAAAAGTTGGGACAGAAATTGATACCTCAATATATATATATATACCATTTTTACTTTTTTGCCACACAGGAAGCTTTTTTCTTATATCGATTTTTTTTCTTGCCACACTTGAATGTGGCGTGATTTATTTTTTTGGCCACATCCAACCGACTTATTAATAAAAAAAAAGTTGGGACAAATTTTATGTGTCTTTAACATTAGCTCTGCTATAATTAAAATATATAACAAGGGTATCAAAATTCGAATACCAAAAAAGTTAGGACAAATTTTATAATTAAAATATATAACAAAGGTACCAAAATTCGAGTACCAAAAAAGTTAGGACAAATTTTATAATTAAAATATATAACAAGGGTACCAAAATTTACGATATATTGTATATATAAGGTAAATATTTAATTTGAACAAAAGATTTTTTATAAGTATATTATAAAACTTTTGGTACCAATATGGTAATACATACATGTAATAGATGTGGTCATGAATTTAAAAAATTAGCGAAGTTACGTATTCATCTTAAACGAAAAAACCCCTGCCGACAACAAAATTTATCAAATCAAAATACAGCGTCACTCCCTAATCCAGAAATAGAATATCTCGATGCATTGGGATTATTGCAAAACAATGGAGCCCCGCCCTTATTTGATTTCTCAGAAATTGGTGAAAGCAGTCATTCCGAGGCTAACTCATCTCCAGAGGCTGAAAGAGAATATCTCGAAGCATTAGGAATATTAGAACCTATTCCGCAATTTCATCAAACAGATATTATTAGTTCAGGATGTGAATTATTAGACGATCATTATCAAGTTGAAATAGGAAAAGAAAGCATATATTCACAAGATCCAATCAATACTCTTGGAGTACTTAGGGAGCAAATAATAAATATTTTCAATAACCGATTTGATCTTACTCATGGGTTCAAAACTCGATTATGTCTTATAGGAAAAATGAGTCGATCAACAAATTATCAGCAGGGACTGTTTGAAGATGAAACATTTGCAGAAAATGATAATGATGAAAAAGATTATAAAGAAGTTCCGTTCAAAAATAAAGCAGTAGTAGTAACTGCTAAAGAAGATATCCCAGGAATTGTAGATGAGCTTATTTGGGATATTGAAAATCGAATAGAAGTATATATTCACAAAGGCTTAGGTTGGTATTATGAAGAATCAGAAGAAGTAAATATTGAAATGCCAATTTATGTCCCTTTAACAGCCAGTTCATATCTTCCTTTACCCAAAGGAATACCAAAACGAAACAATGGAATTATCAATATCCAAAATGAGGATGATCGATGCTTTGAATATTGTAATCTTGCAGAACTATATCCAGCACAATATCATCGAGAACGAGTTTCCTGATATACTCCTCACTTAGGTAAGTTAGATTTCAATGGGATTCAATTTCCAGTAAGAGCCGACAATAATACAATGGAAAAGTTTGAAAAACAGAATCCCAATATATCTGTATCAATTTATGGATGGAGCGAAAAAGAACTTATCCCAATCAGAATTGCATCTAAATCCAAAGTACATAATAGATGTAACCATAAAGAAGGGAATTGTCAACCACGTAAATTAATTCGACTTTTATTAATAACAGGAGATGATCCAAAAACAGGTGAACCAGCTCAACATTATTGCTTGATCCAAGGAAGAGATGGGTTAGGAAAATTAGCTGGATATACAACTAAACACAATGGTAAGTTATATGTTTGTGATTATTGTGTAAGTTACCGAACCCATGATCCTAAGATTGATGCACAACACATGGATGATTGCGAAGGAATTAATACTTCAGCACAAAAAACAGTAATGCCAGAGAAAGGTAAGAATATATACAAATTTAAACGATATGAACGAATGTTAGATGCTCCTTTTGTTTGTACAGCCGATGCAGAGACTCTTGCTACCCAAATTGAAAAGAACCAAGGATCGAAAACAACAGCAATCCAAGAACACAAAGTTATATCATTTGATTATATAATTAGACGTAGTTATGGCAAGACCAAAGTATCAGTAAAAATTAGGGGAGATGATCCAGCTGGAGAGTTTATCAAAGCAATGGAAAAAGAAACAGAGCAATGCCAGGATTTTCTTGCAGAAGGTCACGTAATTCGAAATTCTACAACGAAATTAATCTCAATGATGCAATCAGGAATATTGTCAGAAGAGATAGTAGAAAATTATATTAATTACGTTAGCATATTTCAAACATGGAAATTAATCAATATTCCTTTCGGTTCTACTAAAGAGTATGAGAAGTTAATACATCTTAAACATTACTTAAAAGGTCTTTACCAAGCTCATAGAAGAGATCCCCTTGGAGTAGGCATAGAAATAATGTATCGACTTGCAAATACAATTTATTGTCAGCTCCGATGGCCTGGAGAACCAATGAAAAAATTAACTACTC